AAGGCCCTTGGACTCCGAAGGAAGCTAAATATGGTGGGGAGGAAAGCATTCATAAAAAACGTGCCGAAATGAATGCATATAGAGGTGACCTATTTCATAATCTAAATTCGAGCTGGTAGACTAGTGTACATTTGGTCTTGTTAGATAGATATGTTGAGTGAAGCTCATGTTAAGAAAGCCTTTTAGTTAAGAGTACTGCATGTTCAGTCTTTATTTAGAAAACAGGCAGCACTTCGGCGAGATTGGAGGTTGCCGACTATCTAAGAAATGTCGTATTCCATTATTTAATATGGAAGAACAAAACCTGAAGGTAATCAATTATAATGAATAACGCTCCAACAAAAGGAGGAAGCTGAGTTCTTTCAGTTTCAGCCGAAAGCTCATCACTATCGTTCAGGAAAATTAAACAAAACCAGTCGAATTTCCCCATTTTACTTTGACGTACCCTCAGAAAAAAGCAACTTACGCAAATATTAATCAAAGAAACATTTAGGTAAAATGATTTTTAAAGAGGTAAGTTAGTATACAAAAAGATCATTACGCTTTGGTATAGTAATATAGTACATTTGCTTTATACTTTCATTTTATCTGTAACGAGTTTTCATGTTTGGTTGAGTCTGCAAATATGACCAAATCGGCCACCTTCATGAGAATGAAAAGCCACAAACTCACATTTAAGCTAAAATGTTTTAAGAAATATCTTATTTTGAAGATTTTGGTGAACACAATGAAAAGGTTATAAAATAATGAAACAAAAACTTAAAAAGGCGGAAAATCGTAACACCTTCACCGAAATTTCAGGAATGACGTCAAACTAGTTCCAACCCAATACCAGAAATATCTTTAAAGCAATGTGATTAGAGAAAAGGTATTTTAATATACATTAATTGGTGTGTTTGTGATTTCATTTGACAATTCTGTATAGGTTCATCTGTCAGATCTACAGTAATTTTCGCGTTTTCGGAAGTTGAGGCTTTTTTAAAAGTTGATATTTCCAAACAAGCAAACGAATAATACTATTTATGTTTAATTTACCTTTTACGGTTGCTTATTATTGCCATTTTTGTACATTCATTAATGCCGGTTTGTGAGTGCTAATCAGTCATTCGTAAATTTCGGCATTTTGCATCAAATAAATCCTATACTGTAGGTCCTATTCAATCAGCCTAACATGGGGGGAATAGCTAATTTCCAAGAGGTTTGATGCCACACTCTTGCCGGTAAAGTATCAGTTGTAGTTTAGCACTTTGATGAACACACGAGGAGGATGCGTGACGTAGATGACAGGGATTCCCCGCCAGTTAGGCACTATCCAAAATATAAAAAGCAGGTGACACTGGAAGAACTTGTTTGAAAGCTCTTGGGATTCGGATGCTCAGTTCGGTCGGCCCGAAAAACTGACGGACTGTGTGTACTGATAAAGAGCAGTATCAGCAACCGGGTGGACGCGCATGAGTCAACAAAGCAATACACCCCGGATCATATGTGAATCCGGCGCCGGCGCCCGCAAACCGCAAAGGCTGTCCGTTCACCGTTGTTACTCAGAGTTCAACCGATCGGTCGGCGCCAGTCAGGAAACACCGCTGGGCTTAAATACAGAACTTTGGACCGAAGGATTGGTGAGCTGTTATACGCATAGGGACTGGCGGAGATACGTGGTTTTCTGTCATCCTCCTGTATATTTT